AATCACTTCAAAAATACAAGAACTCTATTCCTTCACATGGTATCAGAGTCGGAAATGACTACTCAAACAAACTCCTCCTCCTCCTCATCCGCTCTCAAAATTCTTCTTCTACATCCGCTTTTACCTCCACTGCCATTGCTCATACTTTTGCTGTCAAACTCAATTTCTCCAATTACCTTTCTTGGAAAACTCAATTTATTCCGCTTCTAAACTATCAAAATCTGATGCATTTTGTTGATGGCTCTACTCGACCTCCTCCAAAGGAAATCATAACTGAGACAAATCCACCCGTGCATTTTCCAAATCTAGAGTATCATGACTGGTCTAAGAAGGATCAGATGTTAATGTCTTGGCTTTTTTCATCTCTATCTGAAGAAGTGTTCTCTTATGTTGTGGGGCCTGACTTCTTCAGCTCAAGTTTGGAATGCTCTAGGAAATGCTTTTGGGTCTATTTCTCAAAATAGACAACTTCAGCTACATATAGACCTTCAAGAGTTAAAGAAAAATGATCTCTCTGTTTCACAGTACTTATAAAAAGTAAACCGCTTGCCGATGAATTAGGTGCCGTCGGAAGATCGTTATCTACAGCTGAGTTCAATGCAATCATCTACAGAAATATTGGAAGTGAATTTCACCCTATTATCACAGCCTTAAATGTTAGGCCGGAACCTGTTCCTTTCCATGAACACCATGGCCAACTAGTTACTCATGAAATTTTGTTAAAAAGCAACTCTGAAAACCCAGTAATCAATCATGTCAATGAGCCACCACTCTTATCCACACTGAGACCTCACAATGTCCATACATCCTACAGGCATAGTAATCTCAATAATCGCCCAATTATCAGAATAAGGGGCCTTGCCAGATATGCGGTCTTCATAACCATTCTGCTGATAGATGCAGAAATCGTTACACTTCAAGATCAAGGGAACTACAATCAATATCAGAAACCGTTACGTCTTGCCGGTCCTCAGTTCTCAAATCAAGCCAATCTTGCTTATTAAAATGGAGCACCATGTTCGGCTCAATCTGATACCACAGGCTCGACTCTTCCATGGTTCTCGAATACTGGTGCTACGCATCATGTTGTTCCTGACGTTTCCAATCTCAACATCAATGCTGATTATCGAGGTGGTAATCAACTCCAAGTTGCTGATGGTCAAGGTTTAAATATTCATCATACGGGCTCTACTACAATTTCCTCAAATTCTAAACCTCTTTACCTTAATAATGTATTGCATGTTCCTCAAATTACCAAACAATTGCAATCTGTTCAGTTTACCAGAGACAATAATTGTTTCTTTGAATTTCACCCATCTTATTTTGTTGTTAAGGATCAGGAACCCAAGAAGTACTACTCCGAGGACTGAGTTAACATGGTCTCTACAATTTACCATCTCCATCAAAGCTTCAAGCTCATATTGCACAGGCTTCCTTGGAAGATTGGCATGCAAGATTAGGACATTCTAATATGCAAACTATAAATAAAGTTGTTCATCAATTTCATTTGCCTTGTTCTTTTTGTTCAAGTTTCTTGAATTTCAAATGTTCTTCATGTTATCAAGGGAAACTTAGTAAATTTTCGTTTCCATCTATTGAGCATTCTAGCACTAGTCCATTAGACCTTATTCAGTCGGATATATGTGGTCTTTCTCCTCATACCTCTAGTGACGGTCACAAATGCTTTGTGTTGTTCATAGATGACTTTACTAGGTTTACTTGGTTTTATCCATTAAAGCAAAGAAGTGATTTGTATAACGTGTTTATTTTGTTTCAAAAGCTTGTTGAAAATCAATTTAACAAAAAAATAAAAGCTCTTCAATCTGACTGGGGTGGGGAGTACAGGAAGTTACATAAATTTTTGAAAGAAAATGGTATAGGTCATCGATTAGCGTGTCCTCATACTCATGAGCAAAATAGGGTCGCGGAGCAAAAAATCAGACATATTGTCGATACTGGCTTAGCTATGCTAACTCATAGCCATGTACCGTTTAAATTTTGGACCCATGCTTTTGATAATTCAACTTTAATTATCAACTCTCTACCTACAACCGTTTTCCATTATAAAACTCCATTTTTTTGTCTATTTAATAAAAACCAAGACTATAACCAGTTCAAAGTTTTTGGATGCTCTGCATGTCCTTTGTTACGTGTATACAATATAAATGAATTTTCATTTAGGACTATTGTTTGCGTCACTTTAGGTCTCTCATTGAATCACTTCGGCTATCGTTGCCTTGATATGTCAACCAACAAAATCTATGTAGCTCGACAATTCCTTGCAGGAAAGATCATGATTTCCCATTTTGTGCTAACAATTCCTTGCAGGAAAGATCATCCAATCAACATGTTATTCCTTGGTTGACGGTAACAAAAATGGACCATGTTCACTCCACTTTGGATAAGGATTCCTTCCCAATTCAAATACCTTCTATTTCCTTATCAGCAACCCACTCACCTCGAGAAACCTTATCTCCATATCCTTCTCCTAATCAATCACTTTCACCAAACGAGTCAACCTAATCACCAACTAACAACACAAATTCTACGACACCAGCTCAATCTAATCCTATAAATTTAGTTGTTGAATTTAGTCATTATCCCATTACAAATAACCAAACTGAAAGAACACAAACTGCCTAGACTCGAACCCATGCCATTACACTTCGGCCCAAGATGCTTCACCATCGGCAAGCCAATTCCGTTACTAGACATCCCATACAAACCAAATCAATTAATTATCTCTTGACAGAACCTTCAACCTTTCACCATGCAAATAAATTTGAGGAATGGCGTACGGCCATGTTAGACGAACTTCATGCCTTGATCAGAAACAATACTAGGAGTTTGGTTCCATGTCCAATTGGCAAAAATGTTGTGGGAATAAATGGGTCTTTCGCATTAAAAGGAATCTGGATGGTACCATTGCTCACTACAAGGCAAGGTTAGTTGCAAAGCGATACAATCTAATAGAAGGCGTGGACTTCCATGAGACATTTAGTCCAGTGGTTAAGGCTACTACTATTCGGACAATTATTAGCATTGCGGTGCATCATGGGTGGTCCATGAGACAATTGGACATCTCAAATGCGTTCCTTCATGGCAACATTGATGATGAAATTTATATGGCTCAACTGGTGGGATTTACAGATAAGGTCAATCCTAACTTTGTTTGTAAATTAAATAAGTCATTATATGGTCTAAAGCAGGCACCACATGCATGGTTTCTCAGATTGAGCAATTTTCTATTTTCTTTCGGATTCATAAATTCCAAGGCTGACCATTCTCTATTTTTCTTACATTATGAAGCTCACAAGATCTTTATTCTTGTCTATGTCGACGATATTGTGGTTATAGGCATTTCTGACGCCCTTATCAATCAATTTGTTGCCAAGTTATAGAAAGTTTTTCTTATTCATGATTTAGGGCCATTACGTTTCTTTCTTGGTCTTGAAGTCATTCCAACATCTGATGGCCTTATTTTATCTCAACGTAAATACGTGAGAGATTTGTTGGAGAAAACTAAGATGGAGGGTGCTAAACCGTTTCCTACACCACTGGCAAGTGCGCCCCCCTTGTCCAAGACTATAGGTATTCCAGTAGAAAATGGGGATGTCTATTGGCAAACAGTAGGAATATTGCAATAAATTACCCTAACGAGACCTGACATTGCATTCTCTGTTAATAAATTGTGCCAATTTATGCATTGTCCTACTGATATTCATTGGAAGGCAGTCAAACGATTATTACGTTACTTGAAGGATACTATTTCCTATGGTCTTTCTGTGGTGCGTTCTTCTTCATTACACTTACATTGCTTTGCTGACAGTGACTAGGCTGGATGCCCTGACAATAGGCGATCTACAAGTGGGTATAGAATTTTTCTTGGAAATATTTTGGTCTCGTGGGCAGCAAAGAAACAACCCACCATTGCCAGATCCTCAACCGAAAGTGAATATAAGGCCTTGGCAAATGCTACGACTGAGGCTATTTGGACATCTTCTCTTTTAAAAGAAATTGGCTTTGGTTTGGACAAGCCGACTACCTTTTGGTGTGACAATATTGGTGCCATATATCTTTCTTCAAATCCAATTTTTCATGCACGTACCAAACACATAGAACTTGATTATCACTTCATCTGTAAACGTGTCGCGAGTAAAGACTTTCAAGTTCGATTCATATCTACTCATGATCAAGTGGCTGACATATTTACCAAGCCTTTGCCTACACGCCGTTTTCATCAAATTCGTCCCTTCTTATGTTTGAAGGCTGCTCCAGTATAGGCTTTCGTGTAGCATAAGACGATTATGATTATTGTAGTCGCTATGAATAATATTATACTTTTGCGGGGTGGGGGGGGGGGGGGGGGGGGGGGGGGTGTTGGAAGATAAAGATAATTACTACTTTATCTTTATCATCTACAACCTCCCAGGAGATAATTGTTTACTCTTTCTTTGTAGTTATCACATTGTTGTACCTCACTATAAACATGTAAACATCACTTCAAAAATATAAGAACTCTATTTCTTCAAAGAATGTTGCTATAGACTCCTTTAGCAACATTCAATCAATGAATGTTGCCTTTTGAATGTTTCAAATGAGTCTTTTTGTTGTAGTGTTTATAGTTTCGAAGTAAATTGCCGTTTGCCAGAGATAGGGTCGTGGAATGCTACTTTTGGATATTTCTAGAAAAATACTAACTAAAGTAATTGCAATGCTTTCTGTTATTGATGACATCTACGATGTTTATGGAACCCTAGATAAACTTACATTTTTCACAGATGCAATTGATAGGTATATTTATCTATTATATTATCTCATTTCTAGTCATTCAATTTTTAACTATTGAACAATTTCATGGACGGGTGGAGTTTTAGTGACATGGATGAGCTACCATTATACATGAAGTATTGCTTTGAAGCTCTATCTGATGTCTGCGCTGAAATTGCTGAAGAGTAGGGAAAGACAGATAGTGGTTACGGTATTCATTATGTGACAAAAGAGGAAATTATAGTCAATACACTAGACATATATATTCTTCACAAGTAAAAAATATTTTGAATATATTACATGTTTCCATTTGTAGATGAAAAATTTACTTGGCTCATATTTTGAAGAGGCGAAATGGGCATACAATTGACACATGCCGACACACATGGAAGAGTACATGAAAATCGCACTTATATCTAGTGGTTACATAATGTTATCTACAACTTGTTTAGTAGGTATGGGAGAGTTGATAACTAAGGAAGCCTTTAATTGGATTTCAACTAAGTCAATATCTGTAGAGACATCATCAATTATTGCTTGACTAATGGATGACATGGCAGGACACGAAGTAAGAAGTTTGAATACTTAATTCACTTATTCTAAATTATAATAATTAAGTGCAATATGCTTGGGTTATTGGTATGCAAGTGAAAAGTGTGGATGACAGTTCACACATATATTGTGATAGACTTCACAGAACAATTAAAACACACAACTCCTATGGTCATTAAAATTATTAAATTTTTTCATGTTGCTCATGATATTGTTTTTCAAGATTTTATTTAATTATATTTGTAATAGTTGAAGTTTGTGATTCCTTTTTATTAATTATTTACTTTTCTAGAGTTATTTGTAATATGAAAATTTTAATTGTAATTAATTTATAAAGTAGTGAAAGTTGGGTTTTTTTACAAGCAAAATTATTTTATTGAGAGAATGTGTGATTGAAAATTAGTGTGAGAAAATCTAACATAGACGATTCATACGTTGTGTTCCTTTTATGCAATTTGAGAAGAAAATACGAGCTATTGAATGTTACATGAATGAGAAAGGGGTCATGAAGGAAGAAGCATTTAGTGAATTACAAAAACAAGTTACAAATGCATGGAAGGATATAAATCAAGAATGTCTTCATCCAACTGTGGTACCAACGGCCATTCTCACGCGAGCAGTCAATCTTGCACGTGCCATTAATCTTCTATACAGAGATGGAGATGGGTACACAAATTCCAAAACCAAGTTAAGAGGATTCATAACTGATGTACTCATTGAACCAATGAAAATATAGATTATATATATATATTTACATATGTGTATATATATTGATTAAGATTAAGTTTTAAATCATCTTTTATTTAATATTTCTTTATTAGATAAATTTGGAATTCAATTCTATTTGTTTCGAATTAATTATGATCAGGACTTTTAATCTTCATTATTATCTAAATTTTGTAATTATCCATATTTTAGTTATTTCTTTAAATAATAGTTATTAGCCATTAAAGCAATAAGTAGTTTTTGAATTGAAATGATAGGATTTGGAGTTTTTCCAATATCTTAAATTTCTGATATTTGATATTTTAAATTAACGATTTTAAATCGTGCGTAACTTGAAGAGTTTTGGTTATTAGTTTTCTAATATTCTAGAAATCAATAAAAACTATAAGGTGATTATGTTGTGATATTTGTTTGAAATCATTAGAACTTTGATAGCGTGTGAGATTATTTATTTCTACGCTTTCATTCTTACATCAATTGATATTAGACCAAGGTTCATTTCCTATAAAGTTGAGTTTTCGTGGAATCCAATGCCAGAAATTGTATT